ATAATGTGGGCTCTCCCTCATATCTGAAGAGGAAGCCGCATAGCCCAACTGTTGTTTTTGGCAGAAAGTGAAGCTGTGTTAGGACCTTCAGGATGAGGTGTTCTAGGGCTACAGGAGCAGAGTCTTTTCTCTGTGGTTTCAAAAAATAAAGAGACAGGAAAAGTGAGGCCTCAGCACTCACTTGTGTTACACACACACCACACACATCACACACACATACCACACACACCACACACACCACACACACACCACACACACAACACACACATACCCCACACACACACACCACACACACACCACACACACACGCCACACACACACACATACACCATACACACACACCACACACACCACACACACACACCACACACACACACCACACACACAACACACACATACCACACACACACACACCACACACACACCACACACACACACAGATGCGAGGGTTTCACAAGAGGTTTATGCTGTAATGCAACCGAAGAGAATTCTGATTCTCAGACAATTTCATTTCCCACACAGGTGCGCACACATTGCATAGGCACATACAGGCACAGAAAATATACCAAAACCTGACAAAGACTGGAACAGAATTCAAAATGAGGAAAATATAATCAAATGGCACACTAAAACAGGATGGCATGCTTTATAACAATGGTTTTCTTTCAGGAATATATAGATGATTCAGCATTAGGAAATCTATTACAAGGGAAGAAAAATAATAATTTGACAAAATTCAAAAGCTATTCAGGCATCAATTCTCAGGCATTACATGCATGTAGTTCACCTACACTCATGTAAGCAAAACATGTATGTGCACACATAAAATATAAGTGAATAAATAAATAATATCAATTCTCACAATCCTTACACGGTGTGAATCCTTGCTTTTGAGTTCAATCTGCCATTTGTCAAATCTTGAAGCCTGCATTACACCACTGTTTCTCTAAATGGTACAATGTAAACTAGTCGAGGCCCAGCTTCACCCCACATTTCTAATCTTTGGAAAGATGAGTGGTACAGAACGGATACCCTGTGGCAGAAATTTTCTCCCCTTGTTTTTATTTTACTAAAATTGTAATTTATTTTTGTCTCCCATGTACCAATTGCACGGTACACCCTCTTTACTTTGCTGGCCATTTTCTATACATCTTGTGCCCTTTCTTTTGCCCTTTAACATCTTCAAAATACCTCAGGTTAAGGACATCCTGCAGAAGGACATTATGTTCTGAATTTGTCACGTGACATTTCTCTTGTGTTCAGTGCATCAACAAATATTAAAGTGCCTCAACGATACTGGAGCCCCATCATCATGACAGGACATGGGTTTAGCTTTAGGTGGCATGATACACCCGACCCTAGATTCATGTAGCCTCCAATTAGACCACCTAGCTCCTTTTCCAGATATGCTAAGGCTTTGTACCTTATGAAATGTAACTAGCTTTAAACTAACATATTTCTACCAATTTCTTTAGTTATGTACTTTTAAAAATAATTCCAATCTCAATAAAATAAAAATGTGTTGTTTTCTGGAGGTTAATATGAAGATACTACTGAACTACTTAAGACATTCAGTGCACCTTATTAACTTAAGTGACATGGAAATACTCACCTTGACAATACCCCGGATGTGCATTTTTGCTATCATCTCTGCAGTGTAGAGAAACATCAATAAAGTGTCCAAAGTGAAGGTCACATACTGGAGAGGAGGATAGTGCTCGAAGGTCATGGGTGTGTTCATGCAAACCGAGATAACGCTGATGATGGCACAGATGCGCAGCAAAGAGTGCACCCACTGAAAGAATAAGCCAAAGCACTTTGTGACCGTCCACACTGAGGCCTTTGGCATGCCTTAGGAGCCATGGTATTTGAAAACAATGCTCAGGTTAAAGCTGTTCACCAGTGCAGAGGTAAGGAAGCAGGAAACAGACATCTGCTAAGTACATATAATGTACTCAGTATTTTTACACATTTTATAATACTTAATTCTTAAAGCAGCTGATTTTCCACATGAACAGTCTACGACTATGAAAAGGTTAAGAGACATTCCTGAGATTACACATTAATAAGGACCAAATTCAAGGTTTAAAGTTAGTTTCAAGGCCATCAGATTACTCTATGGGAAAATTCTGGTTCTATTAAGTTATGTGTTATGAACATAGTCATAATGAACTTTGATGTGAATTTTCTTCTTTCTTGTACTATAAGCACCTGGAATCAGGAACCGTATTCTATTTAATATAACTTCTCCAGTACATGGCACCCTGGCCAGAATAGCAAATGATTTTTAATGAATCAAAGCAGATCACTTACGATTTTTAAAATGAATTTACATTTAACACTTACTATACATAGGTTTAAAAAATTATATCATATATAATGTCCCTATATAAAAAACACGCCAGGGCAGTGAGATGGCTTGGTGGATAAAAGCACTTGTTATGCAAGCTTGATGACTTAAGTTCAATCTCAGAACCCAATTATACAAGAAAGAATAAACTCACAAAAGTTGTCCTCTAACACTCACACACGCACACACATGGAAAGAAGATAATGAACGTGGTTTTCTCTCTGTTTTTGTAAAATATTTGTTTATTTTGGGGGGCTGGAGAGATGGCTCAGCAGTTAAGAGCACAACTGCTGTTGCAGAGGACCCAGGTTTGATTCACAGCACCCACATGGCGGCTACAAACCATCCTTAACTCCAGTTCCCTCTCTCTGCCACTGAAACTCTTCTTCCCAACAAACATACTACTTTAGTGTCTTTGTGTATGTTCCTGAGTGTGTGTGTGTATACCATGTGTGTGCAAGTGTCCATGGAGACCAGAAGAGGGCATCAAATTCCCTGGAACTGGAGCCACAGGCAGTTGTTAGCTGCCATGTGGGTGCTGGGAGCCAAATCCAGATCTTCTACCAGAACAATAAGTGCTCTTAGTCATCTCTCTAGTCCTGAGATTTTTCTCTTTACTTTGGAGAAAATGTTTTTTTACAAATTTAGCCCAGAATCTCTTTTTAAAATTTTAAATCAAGTTTATATACAATTCCAGCATACATCAATGTGCTGTCTAATGATTTTAACTAACTCCAAAATAAGAATAAAGAATTAAAAATGAATGTATATATGCCCAATACGCTCATATACAATCCTTTATCATAAAAAGTAATACCTGGAAAATCTTAATATTGTTTTCTAAATAATGAAAGTATTTTTATTATATATATTTTATTGAATTTTGTGCGTTTTGCACATATTATTCCTATTTAGACCCTTCCCCTATCTGCACCCCATGCCATAGCCTCAAAGCGGATTTAATGCATTGTCATATGTGTTAAGGCCTATGGAGTCATGTTCTTTGGGACTTTCATAGTCTCGTGCTTTACTTACATCTCATTAATCTATTTTGAATTGACTTTTGTATATAGTATTAGATGAGTTAATATTCCGTTTATACATGCTGTTATTGAAGAGAAAAATTTTGTCTTTGTGGTACTCTCATTAAAGATCAGTTGATCATGTATGTGCATATTTATTTCTGGGCCTTTTGATCTGTTCCATTGATTTGTATTATTTTATGTATATCATTTTGATTGTATTGTAATAAAAATACAAATAATTAGCTTTGTAATATATTTGAAATCAGGGGGAGGAAGTAATGCCTAGGATAAAAAAATGATTAGTTGCATCTACAAATCAAAATCATAGAATTAATTTTACAGTGAATTACTCAGTGCACATTGTTCCCATGTACACACACTCACACATACACATACATACACAATATATATGTATATATAGGCATATAATCATGTTAATTTATTAATTTTATACTCCCACTGGAAGAATGGTTTAGTTTGACAGTAGATGGATTTTTCAGTTCTAAAACTAGCAAATCCTTAAGATGAAAAAGAGCAATGCTTATCCATGCTGAATCTTACAGAAGACTCAGACACTTGGAGGTGATGACTGAATTCTAATATTTGCTTGAGTAATACAATATTTGTATGAAACTTTAATGCAAGCAATCCTGCACCACATATGACACATATTTTTCAACTTATTTCAAGGGCTGATATACTTTGCATACAGTTTGGAAGCCTTCTGATAAATGTCAATCTGAATTTAGCTCCATCTGGACACTCCAACATAAAGAACTGAATTACCAAGTACTTCAAAAGATGGGCTCTTTCACAACAAACTGATTTTGAGCTTGAAGAATTATGATTAAGCATTAAGAATTTCAACTATTGCCTCTGATATAACTTTGACACTATCTTCAAAAATTCTTAGAAAGTTTGAATGAGCTAGACATTAAGAAAAAGTAAGTAAAAGAGTTATTTTCTAGTCCGTGCAGTTCCCTAAACATGAGTGGAAGACTTGCTATGTATCATGAATTCTGGGCTCTGAGGACATACAAATAGACACAATCTGACACATGTGTAATTTATAGTACAGTATACATTAAGCATTACATATGTAATGACCCCTCAGCATCTCTGGAAGTTTGCTACTAGGACACCACTACAGATGCCCAAATCTGAAGATGCCCAACTACCTTATATAAATGTGGTAATAGTTGTAGATAACTTATACATATTCTCTTGTATAGTTTAAATCGTCTCTGGATGACTTATAACATTTAAAACTAAGTAAATGTTTATTACACCATACTCTTTCTAGAATAATGACAAGGAAAAAAAATGTACATATTCATTACCAATCAGATTTTTTTCAAATATTTTCAATCTGTTGGGGGGGCACTGAAAAAAAGAAAAAAAGAAAAAGAGAAAAGAAAAGGCCAGATATACAGCCTTTAATCCCAGCACTCAGGATGTAGAGTTTGGCAGATCGCTGTGAGATTGAGGCCAGCCTGGTCTGCAGAGCGAGTTCCAGGCCATCCAGGGCTACATAGTGAGACTCTGTCTCAAAAAATAAGAACAAAAACTTAACTTGTGGTTGGTTCAATATAGATGTGGAACAGAGGTCCAACAGTATTTATATTTATATGTAGCATGCCATTTTATTTACACACAAATTTAAAGGAGGATAAACAGAAAGCAGATTTTTTTTTCTATCAGAGGAAGAGGCAAATGAGGAGGACAGGGAGGGTATGAAATCACAGGTGGTCCTAACAGGCAGGCATTGAGATAGAACTTAGAGGGCCAGGAAATAACATGAATAAAACACACTAATATGAACAAGCCAGAAGCCTGCGGGAGCAGGAGGTGTCTTCTGAGGCTCTAGTGGATGGAAGTTGGACACAGGAAAGGGGAATTTGCTGACCAGGGTAGAGCTTGCTTATAACCTACATGCAGGCAATACACACATACACATAAAATAAAAAATAATAAACAAATTTTTTTTAAGAAGAGCCATGGGTGTGATGCCAACACATTTTAATTTGCAGTGAGAGTCACAGGGATGGTTCAATGACCATAAGGCAGAAAGATAATGTCAGCAGAAAGTGTAATATACATAGATTTGTGAGGAGGCTGGAGAAGCATAAGAGGAAGCCCAGTCTGACCATCTTTGTCTTGCTTAAGGGAGACACAAGCAGTAAGAACATCTCAATTCCTTTCATTCCTTCACACCTACAATTGTGTTCAATAAGGAAGTAGCTCCTGTCTTGCTTTGAGTAGCTGAACTTTCAAGACCTAAGAGTAAAGTTTCCTGTCTTGGTCCTGACCACTGTGCCCTCTTGCACACAGCAATATCTGGTTGGTAGCTCTTCCTCTCATGTTCCCATTAGCTTACTTAGGCATAGAAGGTTGGGTAGAGAGACACTTTCAACTTTCTGCTTAGTCTTTGACTCAAAGATTGTGACTCAGAACACGTGCCTAGTGTCTCAGAGGTCCATGCATATTCAGAGTGTTACGGAAAGGACATCAGTTAAGAGTAGTGGCTCATCTTGGACCAACCTGGGAAGTGAAATGATCTCTACACTGTCTGAGGACTGTGTGCCTAGAGCATGGAGGGGAGGGAAGGATGCAGACCACCATCCCGGGTATATATTCCAATGTGAGCATGCACTTCATACTTTCTATTTGAATAGTTCCAACTTCCAGACTCTGAGACTCATTCATATTCCACTGCAGTTCAAACAGATAGTTTAAAGCATATGAGTTTTGAATGTATGAATCAAATTTCCCTTATATCAGCATGTGCTTCTCCAGACTTCAGAAAAGTGACTTACTGGCTTGTTAATCCAGAGTATGTCAGCGTTGTCTGATAGAGATTCATCAGGACCAAAGTCAGTAACTGGTTGGGCTTCCACCCTGGAACTCTGCTTCCTTTTGAGCATGCTGAAGTTAGCTTTGAGGGGCAGATACAAAACCACAGTCTGAGAAAAGAAAAAGAGAGTTAATCATCTAACTACCTTCTTTCCCATCAAAAACACTGAGTCCTTCATCTATAAATTTTGTACTGTGGTATTGTATATAGCAAGCACACATAAATAGACATGAAAAAAGCATCAGATAAAATTGACATTAATAAAATATTGTTTTCACCCAACCCAACAGATTATCTTATGTACTTCACCAGCAGTTTGGAGGTCACTGATGTGGTCTGGAGTAAAATGACTTGCTTCTCTGGGTACACATAACTAAGGGATATTTTTGCTCTATAGAGCTGCTACCACTGCCAGGACCATGCTGGCTAATTCAGATGAAAGACACCATTCATCCCTAGGGCTTTCCTCTGTGTTATTTTACTATGACATTCACAGGCATCTCCTGTTTCCAAAAATAGTCCCAAGTTGATCTCATGGTTTTGTCTGAGGAAAGGTGAATACCACAGAGATTAAAGATAGACACTCCAGAAGATAGAGACTGCTTTCCCTTTTATGAATGTAGTGATGCCCTAAAGTCTTCTAGCTACCCTAAAGTCAATTCTTCATCACCTGCACCTGAAGAAGATGCTAGCTTGCCACTTGTTTTTACAATTCCAGGTCATGTACATTCTATTATGTGTCACCTCCCTTTGGCCATTGTTACCACCTTCCACAATTTAGCAGCCATCTAAGGATTATCTTCTATCTGTCAAATGGCAAACAAGTGTAATATAATAAGAGGTGCTACCAAGAAGAAGTACCTAATTACTCTTTAGTCCACAGAAAGAAATTGATTAACACTTGTCCGAGTCTTTTTTTTCTTTATCTTCCAGATATGGTCTCAGACCTAGCTGATCTTGAACTCATTTCATAGACCAGGCTGGCTTTGAACTTATAGCTATCCTCCTGCCTCTACTTCCTACGTGCTGAGATTACAGGCATGTGGCACAGTGCCTGGTTGAAGGCTGACTTTGGATGGATCGTTGCTGTGCTTTTGTATGGACCCAGATCCATGGCTTGAATCTTAAAGAAGAACATGTTATGATTTTTGGATAAGTATTACTTGAGGCAAGTGTGTTTATTTAGTGGTGTTTATTTAATCGGTATCATGGTCCTAACAGAAAGAAAAACCTTTAGTTTGTTTCTTTGTTGCTGTTGTTGCTTCTTGTGTTTTACTTTGTTTGACTGAGATAGAATCTCACTGTGCAGCCTGGCTGGCTGGGAACTTGCTGTGTAGACCCAGCTAGCTTTAAACATGCAGCAATCCTTCTGCCTCTGCCTCTCAAATACTATGAGTATAAGCATGCACTACCATGCCTGGGAAGAAGAAGCATCTTGTCTTTATATGCACACATGAGAAATGATACCCTTGAGTCAAGTGACAAATTGACCAATGCTATCTAAGTGAACTTGAGATTGAAGACAAGTCCAGTCTTATTACAAAGCCTAAGATGTTGGGAGTTGGTCACTGGGCTGCTGAACACACTCAAGAAGACAACTAAAGACAGATGACAGAGGGCGGCTCTTCTAAGAAGTGGACAGAGATGGGAATGGCAAGTCAGGAAAATATGGCCATTTCAACACCAATATTCACTGACTCTCCTTCCTGGTGCCTCAGAGAGCTGGAGGAATAAACTCCATTAAAGAAAATGAGCAGAACTCAGTCCTCATCATAAAAGAAGAGGAACATGAATAATATGTAGTGTAAGTAACTATGTGCAGTTGCAGTTTTTACTGAGAAAGAAAATAAAATACAACTAAGGACAAAACTTCTGAATGATTCCGTGTTTTTGAGGGTTCACTTCTCCTTGCTGTGTTTCTCAAGCCATCTGAGTAGGTACCACTTCCCAACCTTCTTATTCCCAGAAGAAATCAAGCCACTTGTCTTTAAAATTCGCTAAGTATTGCCAAGCTGTCATTGCCTTGAACATGGAATTTAAATGTGAGCTTTGCAGTAGGTTTCACTAATCAATTTTATTTTACATAAATGAAGTTAGGCACTCTTGACATGCCATGTAAATGTATGCAGAATATTCAAATGATGCTTATTCTCTGATTTACTTGTGGGGGGAACACATCTGGTAGCCTTAATTTGAGATGCCTCTTTAATGACAGGCTCCTGCTTATCCAAAGGCTGGTTGGAGAATCTTTGAGAAAACCTTCCTGACCAAAGGGAAGAAGAATAGTTTTACAGTGGTACTCAAAGATGAGGCAGAGGACTGTGGCGACCTACCCATGATTTTTTTTTTCCCACAGCGCCAGTGAAGATTGAGGGACATTTGAATTATATGCACTTTTATTACCAAAATACTACTTGAAGCAAAATTGACTTTTGTTTGATTTATCCTCAGAAATACACATAATTTATTTTGGGAGAAAAGTATCCATTTTGGCAATATTTGATACATGAAAAGAGTTCAACTGTAATTGAATGACGTCAGCTGTCACTCACTGTGATACTCCTTTCACCAGCTGCCAACATGCCACCAAATCCAACAGTGCCCAGGAAATGATCTGTCAAACTCAGAGAATCCACACATACATTAAAACTTATCAAGCACCTCCTGAATTACTGAATCTTTGACTGTTTTAGCAATATTGAACTCTCTAGAAATAGTCAAGCAATAAAATAAATAAATTGAGGGCAGTTGGTTGCAGCAGCTTTCCTATATACTTAGTGTTGCTCTGTACCTCTGCTGACATTGAGTCAATATAAGCATTCACAAAACACTATAATTGCCTTGATAAAGACAAAAAGGGATATTTACGTATCATAGATGAGCTTTCTCTTTTGATGGGAATGGATCCTGTGTATCTTTTCCTTATCAACATTATACATTTATAAGCCACATTTTTTTATCTCCAGAGCTGCCTTTTAAAGGCAGTCCACCAGGTTAGAAAAGCATGGCTTTCATCAGCTTTTCCACAATTATTAGAAGTTGATATATAAACAGTTTAATATTGGGAGAAGCTGCACAGTTACAATATGGTCATTGATAAATCCTTTACTCAGAATCAACTAACAGCAACTCAGGGAGAAAACACTCTGCTTCATTGCTTTCTTTTAAATGATTAAAATCCAGTTGCTCCCATATAGTAATTTTTCTCTATTGGCATACATTGTCCCTATTTCATCTCTACCCTCTAGTAAGCAACTTGAAATGAAATTGCTGTTTGTTTGTTTAACCATGAGATGTTTGCAACACTGTGGGTCATTTTTTCATCTCTGGAGCTCTCAGGCTTGTATCTTTGAAGTCTTCTTCTGTCTTCTGAGTTATGGTTTATAGCATGTCTTCTTCCTAGTCCAGCTGCCATGTGTAATGTCCATTACTAGTGTCCCACTGCCAAATACAGAGTCATGTACCTGTGCTGCCTCTCTCTTAGATACAAGGTGACCTCATAATTCATCTTAACAGAATTACAAGGTAGAGTATCCTTCTGATTCTCTCTTCCCTCCCATGTCCCAAATCCTACCACCCTAAATGCTACAGGCTCTACACAAACAGTGGAAGGACCACACAGATTTACACTGCATCTATCCTCAGTAGCAGTAGCAACCTCTTACTTCTTTGTTCTATATATTGACCCTTTGTTTTCTTACTATCATGAGTTTCCTTTCTAGGTCATAGGATTTCAAATTTGGGCTGCCATGTGTGTGTGTGTCTGTGTGTGTGTGTGTGTGTGTGCGCGTATTTATTGTTTTTTGCAATACTGGGGATCAAACCTCTCAATCAAATGTGATTTCTCATATATTTGGCAAATACTGTGCTTTGAGCTATCTCTAAAGCTCTTAGATTGGAATTTTAATATGTCCTTTACTCTATATAAAATAAAAATCATATGCTCATCATAGTAAATGAAAAAATGACAAAATTTAACTCCTTTTTATGATAAAAACTCTAAAGTTGGAAAGTGTGGAAAAAATGCAGTTTAACACAATGCAGGCCATATACAACATCTCATACCTAACATCACACTGAAAAGGGAAAATCTTAAATATTTCTAGAACAAGATCTAGAACAAGACAAGCATGCTTGCTTCCCACACTGATATTCAGCAAAGTATCTGGGGTGCTAGGCACAGAAATCAGGACAGAAGAAGAAAGCTCATTTAATTGGAAAGGAGGAATGTAAACTGTCCCTGTTTGCAGATGATATGACTTTTAGAAAACTGCAGGTACCTCACCAAACAGCTTTAAGGAATTAATAAATGAATTCAGTAAAGTTGCAGAATAGAAAAACCAATAGATAAAAATCTACCAGTAGCATTGTTGTATTTTAACAGCAATTGGTTTGAAAACAATGAAGAAAGCAACACCATTTCTAATAGATACAAAACAATAAAATGCCTGGTAATAAATTTATCCAAGGAGATGAACGATCTATACAATGAAACACTAAACATTGATACAGAAATTGAAGAGGACACAAATAAAGTTTCCCCGTGTTCATGGATTATCAATTTTTAAATGAACTCAAATTTTTTATATGAATAGTCCTGAAGCCCAGGAAACTATGGCTTATCTAGTTCTTTTTCTGCTCCTAATTCACTCATTCACTAATTCATTCATTCACACATCAAATGCGATGCACCTGCTCTGCATCAGGCACTGCCACGTGCACTGAAGGAACAGCCAAGAACTGCAAAGGCATTTAGAGCTTCAAAACTGCCTGCTTCATCTAAACCCATGTTTAGAGTTGAATCCCATGGTGGGACCTTTCATCTGGCACCCACAAGCTCCACTCTGACTGGAAAGTGCACCACTCTTCATCCTTCAACCTTCATCAGATTTCAAATCTTTTATCCAGCTGTGTCTTCTTTGTTTCCTGCTGACAATCCTGGATAGTCCCAATTATTTAATTTAACTAAAAAACTTTTTTTTGGTCTTTTTGAGACAGGGTCTCCCTGTAATCACAGGTGGCCTGGATTTGCTATAGAGACCAGGCTGGCCTTGAACTCCCAAGTACTGGGATTAAAGGCAGGCATGACCACGCCCGGTGCAAGAATTA